ACCACCCCCACCCCCACCCCACATTTTGGGGCTTATACCCCCCAATTCCAACAGGAGCACCTCAAAACGCTCCCGCAAACCACACCGGGTGACCCATGGTGGGGGGAAGAACCCATGGTATGAGCACCCTGAGGGTGGGTTTTGGGGTGTCCCCCATTCCCCCTCCCCCATTTTTTTACCGGGGGTCCCCGATTGCGCGGTGGCGATGGCTTTGCGGAGGGTGGGGACGATGTCACGGACGGCGCGCACCGAGACGCAGGCTTTGCAGAGCGTCTTGAAGAGCGAGAGCTGGTCGATGTCCTGCAGCGCTCCCCGACCCTGTGGAGATGAGGAAAATGAGCCCTGAACCCCCAAAATGGGGGAAACTCCCCCCAAAAATGGTGTCACACCCCCACCCACCCACCCACCTTCTGCAGCGAGGCGGCCGCTCCCCCGATGAGCAGCAACGGTGACTCGGCCATCTGGGCGTTCTTGATGGCTGTCACCGTGTTGGTGACGCCGGGACCGGCGGTGACGGCGGCAACGCCGATGCGACCTGTGGGGAGGTAGGGGGAGGGGTGGAAGGGGATCCCCTCTGCACCCCCATTTTTTGGCTGGTGGGGTTCAGGGAACGCTTGGTTGCTCATCTCGTTGACACCCAAGTGGCTGAATTAGCTCTGGGGGTGAAAGATGGGGACAAATCCCACCATGGAGGGACCCTGGACACCCACAAAGTCTTGGAACCCTTCTTGGCTCAACCAAGACCCCACCAAGCTGGGACACCCCAAAATTCTTCAGCCATTGGCGCAGGAGAAGGTGCTGGCCATGGGGTCACCTTCTCCTGTCCTCACCAGAGCCGCCAAATTAGCTCCGAGGGGGGATAAATGGGGACAAACCCCACCATGGAGGGACCCCAGACACCCACAACGTCTTGGAACCCTTCTTGGCTCAACCAAGACCCCACCAAGCTGGGACACCCCAAAATTCTTCACACATTGGTGCAGGAGAAGGTGCTGGCCATGGGGTCACCTTCTCCTGTCCTCACCAGAGCTGCCAAATTAGCTCTGGGGGTGGGGATAAATAGTGACAAATCCCACCATGGAGGGACCCCAGACACCCACAAAGTCTTGGAACCCTTCTTGGCTCAACCAAAACCCCACCAAGCTGAGACACCCCAAAATTCTTCACGCATTGGCGCAGGAGAAGGTGCTGGCCATGGGATCCAC